ATCCAAGTACTGCATTTTGGCCTCTTGTGTTGACTATGAGGGCTACTCCATTTCTTTTAAGGGATTCTTGCCCACAGTAGTAGACATAATGGTCATCTGAATTAAATTCACCCATTCCAGTCCATTTTAGTTCACTTATCCCTAAAATGTCTATGTTCATGCTTGCCAACTCCTGTTTGGCCACTTCCAACTTACCTTGATTCATAGACCTAACATTCCAGGTTTCTATGCAATATTATTCTTTACATCATCGGACTTTACTTCCTTCATCAGTCACATCTACAGCTGGGTATTGTTTTTGCTTTGGCTCCATCCCTTCATTCTTTCTCAAGTTATTTCTCCACTGTTCTCCAGTAGAATATTGGGTACTTACCATCCTGGCGAGTTCATCTCTGTGTCATATCTTTTTACCTTTTCATACTGTTTATGGGGTTCTCATGGCAAGAATACTGAAGTGGTTTGCCATTCCCTTCTCCAGTGGACCACGTTTTGTCAGAACTCTCCACCATGACCTGTCTGTCTTGGGGGGCTCTACACAGCATGGCTCATAGTTCCATTGAGTTAGACGAGGCTGTGGTCCATGTGATCAGTTTGGTTAGTTTTCTGTAATTATGGTTTCCACTCATGTCTACATCAAGTTATAATTCTTCTTTATATTATGTTCTGTGTTATGACCATGTTGTGTCTGGCAGGGAGAATGAATGAGAGCCCTAAGTTCAGAGATGAATATCAGAGTCCCAACTGTTATGTTGCCTTAGGTTGTCATTAAAGAACCCAATATATGAGTCCCACATCAGAATTTCAGGGGAAGCAGGGGAGGCTATGAGCTGTCCAGGTGCGTTTGGTTGGAAGCATCCAACAAGAACAGGGAAACTCTCTGGGACACAGTAAAAGAGCAGAGAGAGAGGCCCATCAGATGCAAGCCACTGTTAGTCACACGCTCGTCAACAGGCATGGTGCTTTCACCTACATTAGCTCTGTAAACCTTACTAATTTGAATTTAAGGATGGTGGTCCTTTAGCTGGCAAGTCACTCTGGGAGCCTGAGGATTCATGTTTGTTCAGAAAGCTTTACAAGTGGATGCCTCTTCTGTTTGTCATGCATCTTTTTTAAAAAAATTATTTGTTTATTTACTTGGCTGTGCCAGGTCTTATTGTGTGGCATGTGGGATCTAGTTCCCCTACCAGCGACTGAACCTGGGCCCTTCAGTGGTGTAGCTTGAAGTCTTAGCCACTGAACCACCAGGGGAGTCCGTGCCATATACCTTTTTACTAGATCTCTCCCAGAGCTGTTTCTCTTGTAAAGGAAAATACCACATGTCCTTAGGGAGAAGAGTTAATGAATTTGCTATCTGAGGAGTCAATAATTAGATCCATGTTAAAAATATACATATGTCAGTCATATTAAATGAGAAAGGAAAGCAGTTGGTTGTTTGGGTAGACGGACAAAGATGAAGTATAAGCTTCTTGCCAACTGTAGACATGTGATATGTAACAGACCTTCCGAGAATTCACTGAGTTAGAAGACCAAATCTAGGCCTTGACTTTTCAACAGCCTTCAAAAATTCTTTTTCCAAATCTCCAGGCCTACCCGTTTCAGCATTTCTCTGACTCAGAGGCTGGAATGTCATGAGAAATTCCTTTGCACATTGTGTATCTATTGCCCTGATTTGCACATATAAGCTTTACTGCTCCTCTATTAATCTGTTTTCTACTTTAACAGTAACCATTTATTCTGTTTGCTCCTTTTAGTCTGGTGTATTATTGTATTTAAATCTCCATTTCATTTCTGTCAACACCAGTGCTGTTAGTCATGTTCTGATATTTGTAAAACTGTAGACTTAAGTTTCAAAGGAGAAGAAAAAAAGCAAACAGTGTGATATATTCTTTGTTCTGAATTACCAAAGAGATCTCTCACACAGATACAGTAGAAAATTAGGCTCATTGCTAAAGCAAAGAAACGAGAAAGAGAAAGGGGAGCACGGCACTCACACAATCTAACACTCACACAATCTGATGACTGGCCATCCAAAATGGAAGCTTGCCTAAATGGCCCAGCTATGGGATTGTTGTGGGATGAATAACTCAAAGGAAAAATTTAAAAAGATAAGCCAATGCTGGTCCTCGAGTGTTTTTTTTTTTGTTTTTTTTGTTTTTTTTTTTTGAGTGAGAAACAAAATCTGTTTAAATCTGTTCTGGTTCTTAAATGTCTCTTCTGTTACAGTATTTGAGTAGTAGTGAGCTAGCTGTTGGATTTTTTTCTATTGTTTAGAATCCAAACGGAAAGATATGAGCAGGTTTTAAATGCAAACAAATACAGTTGTATCTATCAGTCACCATCTGACAGGGGCAGCTATTTTCAAGTATTCCAAATGGCTGACTCAGGCTAGGTTTACCTCCTGAATCTCCTCTGACTAGACGAGATCCTTCTGCCTACATGTCCAAATCCAACACTCCAGTCAGGCCTCCAGCACTTCTTGCTTTGACTTTGCCAGAGTCTTCTAATGGGTTCCTCTGACCCCAGTTAGATCCCTTTAAGCCTCACTCCACATGCTGCCAGCGTGCTATTTATGAAACACAAATTGAACTCCTCAGCAGGTACCTCAGAAGTTGGCTAGAACCCTGGCTCCTCAGCCAGGCACTCAGGTCCTAAGTGATCTGGACTGGCCTACCTCTCCACCGTTATCTTGACATGGGCATTGTGTGTGTGTATGTGCCTAGTTGGTCAGTCATGTCCAGTTCTTCGTAACCCCATGGACTGTAGCCCACCAGGCTTCTCTGTTCTTGGAATTTTGAGGCAAGAAAATCTAAGTGGGTTCCATTTCCTACTCCAGGGGATCTTCCCGACCTAGGGATCGAACCTACGTCTCTTGCATTGGCAGGCGAGTTCCTTACCACTTGGGAAGTCCAACATGTGCATTATACTCTGACAATTCTAGGGTATCACTTGGAGTATTCTTCTTACCTTTGACTGACTGGAACATTCCTTCAGTACCACTTTCTGGAAAGCAACTAGGCAATTTGAATTTGTAACCTTAGAAACAAAGAAATGATCTAAAATGTAACTAAGGTCCACACACACATAGCTATTTATCACAGCCTTATTTATAACAGCAAAAAAAAGCATGTGGGTATGGAGGAGAAAACAACATAACTGTCCCAAAATAGTCAAATTACGGCATAGGGGATATTATATATCAATTAAAAATGACACTGAGAAAGTTTTAAACACATGGAAAATGTTTATTGTAGAAAGGACTCAAGGTGACTGAAGAGATTCAGATATCCAAAAGGATTCCAAGAAAAAAAAAAGCAGAAGAAAGAAAAATAAGAATAGAGACATAAAACAGAGTCAGGGATGAAGCTAAAAAATCCCTTTTGGCTATGGGATGGACTACAGATTTGGCTGTTGGCTTTCTATCAACAAAACATAGAAAAAATTTTTGGAAAACAGCACAATTTTGTGTCCACATAGAATAGAGACATAAAACAGAATCAGGGATGAAGCTAAAAAATCCCTTTGGCTATGGGATGGACTACAGATTTGGCTGTTGGCTTTCTATCAACAAAACATAGAAAAAATTTTTGGAAAACAGCACAATTTTGTGTCCACAGCATAAAAATATTCTCCCGCTCAGGAGAAAGTCAGGTATTGCATGTGTGAGCTGCTCTGGTGAGTCCTCACAATGAAATCAGAGTAGAAAATCCTAACAAGAGTTACAATGGCGAAATTCCTAAGATTGCTTCTTTCAGTAATTCTTGAAAAAATCAGTGACAATTGCACTCGTTAACTCAATTCTCCTGTAAAAAGCGAATATGAGCACCTTCTTAATTTTCTGTGATTCTACTTTGTCACAGAAATCCATTTGAGAGAAACAAAAGACAGAATTATACCTCGGTACAATTTTTAAGTCATACTTCTTATACACATAATGAGTTTAAATTTGTACTCACTAAAAAAGCACCCAAGGTCCAGTTAATCTAGTTGGATAATCAAAAAAAAGACATCAGAATGAATGATTAAGGGGCAGGAGTAGAAATAGGGAGATCAGGGAGAAGGCTATTGCAGAAAGCAAGAGAAGAATGGGTGGTGGTAAGAGTGGTCAGTAATAGTAAGAGGAACAACAACAGCTCTAATAATAATGATAAGAGTAGCATCATATTAGTATTGTAATAATAGTAATAATGGGGCTTCCCAAGTGGCTCAGTGGTAAAGAATTTGGCTGCCAATGCAAGACACACAAATTCAATCCCTGGGTTGGGAAGATCCCCTAGAGAAAGAAATAGCAACCCACCCCAGTATTCTTGTCTGGAGAATCCCATGGACAGAGAAGCATGGCAGGCTACATTCCACGGGGTCACAAAGAGTCAGACACAACTGAGCAACTAAACCACAACAAATAGCACTAATAACAATACCAGAAATATGTAAAATTATCATTCACCCTCTGTTTTTGAATTGAATATATAAAAATCAATTTTTAGCTAAGCAACTTATATTAGATTCTTGAGTGAAAATCTAATTCATCCATTGACATTGTCTTCTGTTAATAAAAATCAAGCCTAAATTAAAACATATACACACAAAGCTCCAGACTGGGGGAATGGAGAGTTAATAATGCTATTAATGTTTAATGGCTACAGAGTTTCAGTTTGGAAAGATGAAGTTCTTCTGGCGATGAATGTGCTGATGGCTATGCTGTAATCCACTGAAATATAAACTTAAAAATGGTTAAAATGCTGGGGGAGGTTCAAGAGGAAGGTGACAAGAGGAAGGTATACCTATGGCTGATTCATGTTGATATTTGGCAGAAACCAACATAACACTGTAAAACATTTATCCTCCAAATAAAAATAACTAAATCTCATTTAAAAAATTGCTAAAATGATCAATTTTATGCTATGTATATTTTACTACATGCACACACACACACCCCCTTCCAGAAATCTCTAACAGGTGAGCTTGTTCAGGACAAAACAATCCTATCGTGAACAGTGAGGAGTCCAACAAGTCATGGACCTGCAGAGCCACTCACTGACCTCGTTCCCTGGCTCCAAAATACACACAAAGACCCTAGGAAAAGTGCTGGCAGTTTTGACAACAGCGCCTCCTACAGAACCCTCCAGGAAGCACCATCTACAAACCGTTACCACAGGAGGCAATCTGAAGGGACATTTTGTGTACAAACTGGTTAAATGCTTGAGGTGCAGCTATCTAAGAAATTAACTTGGGTTTTAGAGGATTTTATTTGTAATCCAACTGTGACAATAATAAGCCAGCAAGACACGCTGCCTCCACGGGCCATTATTATCCAAACTATTGTCTGTCTAGGCTAAACTGCTTTTCTCTCTCAGGGGCTGGGATGACGAGACATGAATAGCTCATCAATGGGTTACTAATGAAGGAGATGAAGGGAGTTAGGACACACTCCGGGTTTACCTCAGCTGACAATTCTGATGGGCCCACAAAATGGCCCTGATTCCTGAGGAATAAGAGCCAACATCTCAGGGTCTTTGGTTGATTTATTCAACTTAGACATTGATCAGCTTCTGCCTATGGAGTCGGAAGGTCAAAATGAGCCACAAATAACTTAGTACTATTTCTAGCAAATTCTTTTAATGCTAAGTAAAAAGAGCAGGATATTAAAAGAGAAAGTGAAAGTGAAAGTCACTCAGTCATGTCTGACTTTTTGCGACCCCACGGACTATATAGCCCATGGAATTCTCCAGGCCAGAATACTGGAGTGGGTAGCCTTTCCTTTCTCCAGGGGATCTTCCCAACCCAGGGATCAAACCCAGGTCTCCCACATTGCAGGTGGATTCTTTACCAGCTGACCACAAGGGAAGCATTAAAAGAGAAGGATATTAATTGCTGTTGACAGCAGTATCTCAAACTTGCACAAAATAGGCATAGGAAATAAAAGGAAATGATAAAAGTGTTAGCAGTGGATCCCTGTATGAGGAAGTTACACAGATGATTAAATATTTATCCATTTTACAAATTTTCTAAAATGAGGATGTAATGGGCAAAACAACCATGGTTAGAAAATATGAAGACATCTCATTTGTTTCTGTGCTGTGCTGGGCTCAGTCGTGACTCTTTGCGACCCCATGGACTATACAGCCCACCAGTCTCCTCCGTCCATGGGGTTCTTCAGGCGAGAATACTGGAGTGGGTTGCCATTTCCTCCTCCAGGGGATCTTCCTGACCCAGGGATTGAACCCATGTCTCCTGCATTGCAGGTGGATTCTTTCCTGACTGAGCCATCCGAGAAGCCCCTTTAAATCTACAGAGCCTTTCTTAACTTCCTGTGCCTGGTACTAGTTCCTCCAGATTTTTTATTTGTTTTGCTATTATTGTAGTGTATATGACCAGTTAGTTATGTACATGACCAGTTAGTTAAATCCCCATCTCTCTCTCACTAGCCTGACTCCCTTTCAAGCAGTGACCATCCCATCTACCTTTTCACTTCTGGTACTTCAAACTATTCCTGGCAAACAAAAGAAATGTTTGTTGTTTCAAATAAAGCATTTAGTTACTAAAAAGAATATGGCAAGGGTCTGCTTGTTGCCAAGGAGCTTTATAATTTTTCCTGAATTGTAGGGCTGAGTTTGCAAACAAAGGGAAAGACAGTAGATGAAACCAGTGTCTTCCCAAATTAGTGATAATGCTTTAGCAATAAAATAGAAATAGGAAAGAACTGTATAGGCAACTTAGAGAAAGGATGCATACATTGTTTTGTTTTTATTTTTTATTTTCAATCTTTTTTTTTTTTTTGGCCTTGCCCTATGTGGGATCTTAGTTCCCTCACCAGGGCTTGAACCTGAGCCCCCTGAACTGGAAGGATGGAATCTTTACCACTGGACCACAAGGGAAATTCTACTTTGTTTTAAAAAAATATATTTAATCTTTTTTTTTTCATTTATTTTTATTAGTTGGAGGCTAAATACTTTAAAGTATTGTAGTGGTTTTTGCCATACATTGACATGAATCAGCCATGGATTTACATGTGTTTCCCATCCTGAACCCCTCTTCCACCTCCCCAGTGCACCAGCCCCAAGCACTTGTCTCATGCATCCAGCCTGGACTGGCGATCTATGGCAAACAGAGACTTTTGCCCTGCCCAGGGAGATCATGCTCTTTCTGAGACACTGCATTTGAAATTGGGAAGTTAAATAGATTGAGATGAATAACCATTCAAGGACAGTACAGACACCATAGGATAAAAGCCATGGAAGGCTCAGAAAGCCCAGCTTATTCTCTGGACAAGAGAAGGCAACAGAACTTCAGTGAGATCTGTTTTGTGGCTAAAAATCATAATTGCAAGTTCAAACTTGAGTCACAAAAGCCAGCCTAAAAATATAGTGAATTGTATGCTTTGGCATAGATATGCTATAGCAAAACCGGAGTTCCTTGGAAAATATCTTAGTGGTATATTAGGATCAACTCCAAACCTCAAAAGTTAGACCTGAGGTGTTCTGTGTGCGGCTGTGGGTCCTTCCCTCACGTTAAATGTGTGTGTCTAGGCTCACCCCACAGATTAGCTTGCTTTCAAGCACTAGAGTAGGACCCTACTCAGAAAGAACAAAGGGGAAGAAGTGGTACATGAAGATGTGCACAATTTAACTTTACCAATCATCATGACTACAAAGAGGAAGGATCATTTATTAATTCATCCTAATTGTGCAAGTGCCTTTAAAAGAGACACAACCAAGAGAATGATCTTCCAAAAGTCATGGTGCAAGTGATGCATGATTTGGAAAGACTCCCTGCAAGGTAACAATAGAGAAGAGAGGCGCCCAGCATGTCAGGAGTTAGGAGGCCACAATAAAGAGGGTGAGAGAAGACAGACAATATGCTGGAACATTTTTTGAAGCAGTTTTTATTCCAAGGAGATGGCAAAGAATTCTGCGGATGAGTCAGCCTGGAAATAATGGGAAAGAGAGTCTACGAGGTTCATAGGAGCAAAGGCTTAATAATGCCCCAGAGGAAATTATCTAGCAAAAAGCAAATGCCAGTGCATTTGTTTGATAACATCCATTAGTGCAAACTGTCTGGCAGAGACCAGCAACAGGCATAAAAATATCTTGATTTTAAAAGCTGCATGGAAAAATTGGAGGAGCTCTTGAAAGAGTAGGGCTGGGTGGCTAGTCTAAGATCAAACACTAACTATAACCTGCGTTTGGTAATGCTTGATGTATTTTGTTATTTAAAGCAGGGCCCACAGGAAGGAATAAAGACAGATGGACAGTGAGGAACTTGAAGCAGAAAGAATCAAGGAATGAACTGAGAAACAAATGATGATACGAGAAAGAGGAGCCTGAGGCCAGACTGAACTGACCTGGGGCAAGGGCTAGTATCAATAAAATGAAAGTTCCTAAAGTTTTGTGAGTGTGTGTGACAAATATTAAAGTGCTATTTTTGTCTTGGTTAATATTTCCAAAAAAATACTATAAATGGAGATCTGGAAAAATATACCACAGCCATCTAAATACTGCTAAAGCAATGTAATCTGTCATAATTAAAAACTGAAATCAGCCAAATGGTCTACAACAGGAGGATGGTAAATTACACTGTGGTATGTCTATGACCTGGATATTATGCAGCCTCTAGCAATTATATGCAGTCACATAAAATATACTCATGAAAGAGCCCTCAGTGAACCAGCTGTTTTATACAGTATGAATGACAGAGCTAAAGTAAGCCTAAATATGTCCTTAAAACATATTTTCTTAATTATATTTGTAAAGTTCTTTGGATTTTCAGGCAAAAGATGCCCCTGAACTTTAATTTTAGCTTTGGATATTTTTTATTACTAGGAGACTCACAGGACGCGAAGCCATCTCCAAAGGAAAGTAAAAGCAAGTACTTTCCTTGCCTATAGCTAGGAGGCTTTATAAAACTCCTAATAAAATACTGCAGAGAGGAATGATGCTATCTGGAGAGGCTCTCTGCAGTTCACTTATCACCATCCTTGGCCAGTGTTTCAAGAAATCATCAAGCAAATACCAAGTATAATGTCTAGAGAGAGAACTTATCTATAGTACCCTCATGTGAAGGCCACTGCCAAGTCTTGATGTATCCGTTTATGACTTGTTCTAGAGACAGCCAAGCATCTCTAAGGAAAGCGAATCCCACTTGAAGGCTTCAGCCAGGGCCACCAGAGTGCACTTTCCGCAGGCCTGTTCTCCTACCAATCAATTTGCGTGAGAGCATTTCAAGCCCATTCACTCCCCTTGGAGTGTGTGCATCTATTTAAGTATCTTCTTCCTTTTTGTCACTTCTCTGTCACTTTGGGATTACTAAACTCATTCCTCTAAGGCATGATTTCTTTTGTGTTTCTAATAAATAGTTCTTAGCATCGCATAGTTTTATGACCAAATGAATTTGTTTTATATCTTGGTGGTGTCTGTTTTCTACTTTAGTTACTTAAATACTCTGAGAATTTTAAAAGGCAGGATTTCTAAGAGAAGAATATTTCTCTAAGGCAGAATTTAACATATTTTTAGGACACTTATGTAGATGCAAAAACACTAAAGAAGCTTTAAGCAACTTTAAGATATTTTATTGAAGTATTTAAGTTTGTTTAATTTGAATTGTATAAAAAGAATCTAGAGAAGGACTAGAGTTCTATGAGAATCACCCAGGCAGTTTTCCAACTACACCTGTTGACATTCTACCCTAGGTCCTAGAAGTTTGGGGGTTTCTGCCACAGTCTCTTGTTGTTAGCAAAAAATAAAGGAAAATGAAACCTGCCTTTGGCTTCCTGCCCACTCCTGACTATATTCTGGCTGCTGATCCCTTCATGATCATCCAGAAGACATTTTTAAGAGTTTATTATTTTAATTAAAATAGCACTTGTAAAAGTGGGGATGATTCTGAATATTGCAGGTCTGCTGTTAACAAAAACCTGAACTTGGAGCTACATGGTCCAACTGTGCATCATGAGGTTCTAGGTCACAGAGCTTTAGTTTGGGAAGAGAATGGGAAAACAGTGTTAATTTCACAAGACAGAATGTTTCCAAGGAGAAAGGTCATATAAAACGAATCAGGGTGCTGGTTCTTTCTTCCTGAACCCCAGCAGTGTTTGGGCAGATTGACCTTGCAGGGCTAGGCCAAGCAGGGTTGGAACCAGAGAGGCCCCAGTCAAAAGCAGGCAGCTAGCCACTCACCGGCAGGGCAAGATCCGGACGATATCGTTGGGCTTGTACCCCTCAATACAAACAGCACAGTTGTCAAAATCCGGCTCCGTTTCCTGCAACAGAGAAAGCACAGATGAGCCTGCTTTGCGAGCTTCAACTTCTGTAAACACACAAGTAACAAGCCAAAGGAGAGTTTGCCTGGAGCAGGGCTTTCAACTGTCTCGAAGCTGGCTGTCTTAATCCATAATTTATTATGCACTGGTTTAGTTTCTATTCCTTCCAACCTCCACTTTTTGTTTCCTGGTTCCACAGCAAGAGCTTTGACGAGGAAATCGTTTTTTAATGTACCATTACTAATTATGCTACTTATTATAATCAGAGGTGACAACGCAAAGTCTCAAGGATGAGAGAAATACTCTTCATGGAGACTCATCAAAATGATATTTAATCTATCATTCCTTGGGAATCTAATGTATACAACTCTAAAATAGTGGTTCCAGCTTTCCTTTCAAATACTTAAGTCTCTTTCAACACCCTGTAATACATTACTTATGTAACAGTCCTTGTTCTTTTATTATTCTGTTTGAGGAGAAAAAAAGTACTGAAAAATATGCTTTAAATTTAGTGATGCTTTTAAAATGAATTTTATCCTATTAAGCTCAAAGGTATTTTTATATAGCTGAAAACCAGTAGCACCTAATTAGTGAGACAAATCAATTATTCACACTAGAGACAACACCTCAAATACAAGTAGAGCTGTGAATCCCTTACAGTGGCTTAAGCAGCCCCACATTCATGGACTGCAACCCACTGCTCTAAAATTTCTCCTGGGGGAAAAACTTCTCCTGGGGAGAACAGAGGTCTTTAGAGGTCTGTGGGCCCAGACCAGCTTGCACTGTGGTCCTTCCTTAGGATATGCTTCTGCTTTTGGCTTTATGTCATCATTCTACAGCTAGAGAGTTCTAGAATGACTGTACTGGAATGAGTTCTGCTCTCATAACTTTGGGGTTCTGGAAACTTGGTTTCAGGGGGACTAAATATGCTTCTTGCATTTTTTTTTTTTATTGTTGTTTAGTTGCTAAATTGTCTCTGACTCTTTGTGAACCCATGGACTGTAGCCTGCCAGGCTCCTCTGTTCATGGAATTCTCCAGGCAAGAATACTGAAGTGAGTTGCCATTTCCGTCTCCAGTGGATCTTCCTGACCGAGGGACTGAGCCCACATCTGCATTAGTATGTGGATTCTTTACCACTGAGCCACCAGCATTAACTGCAGACTTAAGTGGAATACATCACTCAGCACCTAACACTGCTTTCTGTGCAAGGATTCATGGAAAAATTTTCTCAAGTCATAATTCCAGGAACAGTCATTTCATTTTTATCTAGTGGGACACTGGAATAAGGTACTTAGATTTGTTTGAATATTGAATATTTTTTCCTTTGCATTGGCTGCCAGAAAGCCCCAACCTAAATTTTGGACTCATGTCTGTTTTTCATTTCAGGTAATGAATCTGTGTACTATTTCATCCTGGTTTTATCTACTTTTCCTAAACTTACTTTTTAATTTCTCATATTTTTTCTCCAATGATTTTATGGTCCCATGGTATGCACTTTACAAACTGCCTTAAATTATATTTAATAATGGTGGGTATAATAACAGATGCTTATAGGAAAACTATTAGCATGTATTTCCCTTCCTCATCTTCTTATCTACATTGGTTGCTAGGAAACTCAGAAGCTTTAAATAGCTCCTCACCAAAAAGAAAAGACTTTGCCAACAAAGGTCCACATAGTCAAAGCTATGGTTTTTCCACCAGTCATGTGAGAGCTGGACATAAAGAAGGCTGAGCATCAAAGAATTGATGTTTCTGGACTGTGGGGTTGGGGAACACTCTTGAGAGTCCTTTGGACAGCAAGGAGATCAAACAAATCAGTCCCAAAGGAAATCAACCCTGAATATTCATTGGAAGAACTGATGCTGAAACTGGAGCTCCAATACTTTGGCCACCTGATGCAAAGAACCAACTCACTGGAAAAGACCCTGATGCTGGGAAAGATTGAGGGCATGAGGGAAAGGGAGTGAGAGAGGATGATTTGGTTGGACAGCATCAGCACCAACTCAGTGGTCATGAGTTTGAGCAAACTCTAGGAGACAGTGAAGGACAGGGAAGCCTGGCATGCTTCAGTTCACTGGGTCACAAACAGTCGGACATGACTTTAGCAACTGAACAACAGCAACAACAAAAAGAAAAGAGGCTGTTACCTTGTCACCCTTCTTGATGGTCCTGACCTGAAGCTTGCTGATTGCTTTCTTTGCAGCATCTCCCAGTCGACGCTGAAAAACCAAAAGCTGCTCGTTAGTAATAGAGACTTGTCATTCTTAACTTCTTGTCTGATAGCATTCAGTAAACCAGGGCAGCTATCTCTGAAATCATGCACAAGTGGTAGGAATGTTAACGAAGATGGGTGGAGGAGATGGGGCAGTGACCTCTGTGCAAAGCGGCTTGGCTCACTGTGGTCTGTTAAAGAGCTCAGTCATCAAGAGAAGCTCTTCATGCCTGATGTTAAGCAAACGGAAGATGACGTGGGAAGATTTTGTCCCACAGTGACTCCAGTGCAGGTCGTATTCATGCAGAGAAGGAAAAAAGTTCCATAATTTGCCACACACTAGCCACTCAGTTTGTGACATGGAGATAGCCAGTCTGGAGTAGTTGGAATAGTTTTCATCTTTTGTTCAAAATCAGGGTTTATTGCTTTCATATTCCTTTCAATTTGGAATTTTAAGCAGTTTGCTTTGCTATATATCCATCTCCAACCTAGACTTATATTTGGTTTGTACTATTCTATCTAGCATCATTGACTAAGTGGACATGAATCTGGGCAAACTCCAGGAGATAGTGAAAGACAGGGAAGCCTGGCGTGCTGCAGTCAATGGGGCCACAGAGACACGACTTAAGTGACTGAACAACAACAAATTCTATCCCATCACTTTCTTACATGCCAATTTCACCTCCAATGTGTGTGTGAGTATACATATAGTGAAAGTGAAGTTGCTCAGTCCTGTCTGACTCTTTGCAACCCCATGGACTGTAGCCCGCCAGGCTCCTCTGTCCATGGGATTTTCCAGGCAAGAGTACTGGAGTGGGCTGCCATTTCCTTCTCCAGGGGATCTTCCTGACCCAGGGATCGAACCTGGGTCTCCCACAATGTAGGCAGATGCTTTACTGTCTGAGGCACCAGGGAAGTCCATATACATATAGGAAAATACATAAATCATACATATTCAGCTTAGCAAATAATTATAAAGCAAACACCTGAGTAACTACCATCACTCATGTTAAGAAACAATGTATTATGTAGTCTTTTTTTTTTTAAATCGGGAATGTTACTATCCTAATGACCCCTGCAGTAATGCAATGATAGAGCAATTTGGAAGAGTGGGAGAGGTAGAAGATGGGGAGATAATTATGTTTTAATCTTTCAAGGAAAAAAATTAGTTTGCTTCTGTGCTTGTGAATTTTCCACAAGTTGTTATCTTCTTAGGCACGTGTACTTCTAGTTTGTGACAGATGTGCGTTTGCAGCAGTGAAACATACTTGAAGGACTAAGATAAATGGGGCAAACATTTAAAGAGAATAATCACTTGTTTCACTAACTTTGTTCCTTTTGAAATAACAGTCAAGCTTCTCTCTTTTCTTTAGAGTAGCACATACTACCCTGGTGACTCAGTGGTAAAGAATCTGCCTGCCAGAGCAGAAAAGGTGGGTTCAATCCCTGGGTCAGGAACATCCCCTGGAGGAGGAAATGGCTACCCATTCCAGAACTCTTGCCTGGGAAATCCCATGGACAGAGGAGCCTGGCGGGCTACAGTCCATGGGGTTGCAAAGAGTCGGACAAGACTGAGCAACTGAGCATGTAATGAACAGTTAGCATAGCCTAAGTACCATGCTAAAACTTTATAAACAAGATCAGCTTTCCCTTACAATAACCCCATGAGAAAAGTATTATTTTACAGAATGAACTGGGACTTAAGTAAACTGTTTACTATCACAGAGTTAGGACAAATAAGCAAAACTTACATATATGTCTTTTGAGGAGAAAAAGGATCATATTTTGGCAGAGATTGATGAAGGATATAAAGTCTGCACTTTCAGGGGAAGAAGAGAAGATCTAGATAGCTGGAAAATGTGGAAAACCAGCTTCTGAAAAATAGACCATAACTAAGGGACCTGGTAGAACTAGGCTTTGCTTTGTTTTTCTATAGGAGTTCTGGACTAACAAAATAAAAGGAAAAGCACTGTAAAGTTTTAAAAAATGCTATGACCATTTGCAGGTAGCCAAATCTTGTCAATATAAGCATGTTTCCATTTCTTCTTAAGTGTCATGAAAATCAGGGATACTGACTTCTGAACGAAAACCACTGTCTCATTTTCAACAATTTCCAAACGACAAGTTTGGATTTCTAAAATGCAAACTAATCAGAGAAAGACATAAACATTCTTAATAAAATGGCCCAAATAAGGTAGTTGTTACTTTGGTAGTTGATCTCTTAAATCTTTGGGTTTTTAACTGCACTGAGTATAAGTGAGTGGGAAGTCTACAGGCTGTGCTCAAACCAAGTCTTACACATAGTCTGAAGAGAGAATCCAGAGACTGAAAGCCAAAGGCCATCACAAAACAGACTCTTTCCTTTGTGGTTCTCAGCAATGCAGAGTGATATGATGCCAACGGAGCAGACGGAGGGACCACCTCAGGTTCGTGTGGGCCTTTTGTTTCAGGTGAGGATTGCTCTCCCTTCTCCAGGGGGCTCCTACAGATTTTCTCTAACCCAACCAGATTCAAATCATATTACACTTTTCATTAAAAATTGTCAGGAGTTGAGACATCTTGGTAATTAGACGTACTCATCAATTTGATTGAAAAAGGTAAAAGAAAATATTTACCAAGGTTACTGGTTCCTTGACAACAATGAAGATAAACAGCTTTATGGAAAACAAACACAGAACCATTTATTAGAAAACTAAAGTCTGACATAAATACCAACAAGGATGGTAAACAATGACAGACTCCAATTCAACTCAAGATGTATCATTTAGTTAGCTCCTACATACTTAAAAAACTGAGAAAAAGACATTCCCCTCTTGTCCTTCTCTCATTATAAAGAGAAATGCAGTCAAGGTGAAAAAAACTAGGAATAAGTATGCCAAAACACAGCATCAAATCGAGTTTATGTTACTCCTATTTCATTTGGTTGAATAAACCTGTATCATGTGCTTAGTCGCTCAGTCGTGTCTGACTCTCTGCAATCCATGGCCTGTAGCCCACCAGGCTCCTCTGCCCATGGGATTTTCCAGGCAAGAATACTGGAGTGGGTTGCCACTCCCTTCTCCAGGAGATCTTCCTGACCCAGGGATCGAATCCAGGTGTCCCGCATTGCAGGCAGATTCTTTACCATCTGAGCCAGCAGGGAAGCCCTGATTCCGTAATGTAACTGCCCCCCCTTTTCTCCCTGACAGCTATATTTTACAGTCATTGATTATTATCATTACCGCCTTAACCAAGCAGAAAAATAACTAGGTGTTTTCATGTTCTAGGTGAAGAGAGGACATCATAGACATAAACAGAATCGTCCCAGCCGTGTGAAGGCTCGCGCGGCCACAGCTGACTCTGACACTTCCTCACTTGCTCTCCTACATGATGATGATCCTCCCAGGTCTGCTGGGCGGGACAGAGATCATTGCACAGCCAGCCCAATCAGTTTCCATGATGTAGATCACCCCTCCATCCGTCTAGAGAGATAGATAGAAGATGCAGACTATTTTGGCGGCCATGGTGACCCCACAAGGTGATGGCTTACAGTTGCTTATGCACACATGCCCCAGGGTAAAATCATCACCATTTTTTAAAGTTAATTACTTAATTTTGGCTGTGCTGGGTCTTCATTGCTGCACATGGGCTTTCTCTAGTTGTGGCCAGCGGGGGCTGCCCTTCATTGCGGTGTGTGGGCTTCTTTCTGCGGCGGCTTCTCTTGAGGCAAAGCATCGACTCTAGAGCACAAGGGCTTCAGTAGTTGCGATGCACGGGCTTAGATGCCCCTCGGCACGTGGAATCTTCCTGGATCAGGGATTGAACTGTGTCCCCTGCATTGACATGTGGATTCTTAACCACCGGATGACCAGGGAAGTCTCAGGGTTCTTTTTTATTGGAAGAGTTGTAGAGGAAATAGCTATTGTTGGGAGTTAGGAAACTCAGCTTTTGCTCCTGTTTCTGCTACTCACTGTGTGACTTAGGCCTAATCACTTAAATAGTCTAGGCCTTAGCTCCCCTTATTAGTAACCTTCACTATGTAAAGTTACGCTGTTTCCAACTTTATCAGCTCATCACTGTCATCCATACAGAACAGAACTGGGAGGCAAAGATCCCTTGAGACCTGAATTATGGAAACATAGCAAATCAATGGCTAATGACCTCACCGAATACTTGCTCTGTATGCCCTGAGGGCTCTGAGCTTCCTCCAGCACAACATCAATCAGAGACCATTTTGGTTCCTGTTCTTTAGGAGACAGAAGCATCACCACTTACAGACCCTCCTTTGATGGCAGATACCTGCCCCACTTCTATCCCCTCCCCTTTCTCTTTCCCTGTGAAGTCCAAGTTTGTTTTAAATTCCACTACTTCCTTGGTTCCAACAAAACTTAAGCACCAAGATGTGCAAAAGAAACCCAAGGGACATGGACCATCCACCTGCAAATACTAGAAGGCATTCTCAGGGAGAGGGAACTCTTTCAAGAAAGCTTGGCTAAATGCCATCACCTGACCTCAGGTAAAACAATACAACACAGGTCTGGTCTCCTTGGATTGGCCTCAGAGGCAATACTGTTTTACTGTTTATGAAAAATAAAAAGGAACCTGATTCGGTGTATCTGATCTGCCCATATCTGAAGAAGCTGCTATCTACTAGGAGTCCCTTGGTTTTCAGAATGCAGATCCAGTTCTTGTGTTTGAGGTGGGATATCCTCGGAGACAGTGAGACAAAGTCCCGGAACATGGCCCAAGGCAGGCTCACTGGCCACAAAGATGGCAGGAATGCTGCCCACTGCCTTTGCTTTACCACCAAAGGGTTTCTATAAGGGGCTTCTCAGGGGGTAGCTGACTCTGACACTTCCTCACTTGCTCTCCTACATGATGATGATCCTCCCAGGTCTGCTGGGCGGGACAGAGATCATTGCACAGCCAGCCCAATCAGTTTCCATGATGTAGATCACCCCTCCATCCGTCTAGAGAGATAGATAAAAGATGCAGACTATTTTGGCGGCCACGGTGACCCCACAAGGT